AAATCAGGGTAAGAAATGTCACTGACATTTTTTGAGACTAGTGTGCGTTCAACACTATGAATATATTTGCTTTTTCATTGAGTCTTARCAACCAGCCAGAATATAGGCATAATATTCTCATATCATAGATAAAGGGACAATTCCAACAAGTGATTGGACTGACCAGGTCACACAGGAGGAAAATAGGGCTCTAGCTGTTTGCAGATTCTGTACCCCTCCCACTGTGGTCATGGGCTCCAGTGGGCACTTCACACCTCCCACTGGTTTTTTTTCTCTCCCCACCCTCCTTGTTTTCAGATATAACTATTGGTAGAATTCATTTTGTGGATTTTTAAGTGTATATTGTGTTACTGTAACTTATTTCAATATTTATCAGCTTTATTTGTCCTGTAATAAAATATGTAAACATTAGTTGCTTTTATAATTTTCTTGTCCTTGAAAAAGATGAATTAGAAAAGTTCCTGATGAGCTGGATGATGCACATCTATGATCTCATCTATAATACTTGGAAAGCTGAGACAGGAGGATCCCAATTTGGAGGCCAGCCTCATCAATTTAGGAAGATCCTGTCTCAAAATAAAGAAAAACARAAAGGTCTGAAGATGTAGCTCAGTGGTAATGCACCCTTGGGTTTAATTTCAATTACTACAAAAATAGATAGATTAATAGCACCAGATGAAACTTGATATTGTATTATTGATCTTTTTAAATTTTTTTTTGTAGGTGGACACAATACCTTTATTTTATTTGTTTATTTTTATGTGGTGCCRAGGATCGAACCCAGTGCCTCACATGTACTAGGCAAGCACTCTTCCACTGAGCTACTGACCAGCCCTGTATTATTGATCTTTTTTTTTTTATCTTTATTTTATTTATTTATTTTATGTGGTGCTGAGGATCCAACCCAGAGCCTTGCACGTGCCAGGCGAGCGTTCTACCACTGAGCCACAATCCCAGTCCCTGTATTATTGATCTTAATGAACGTAATTGGACCTTCAGTGTTAAAGGAAAGGTGAATGAACTTAGAACTAATGTAGTATTCCCCTGAGGTTTTCAGAAAATTAATGAAAAATTCTATGTAGTTTTGTTATAGTTTTTAACTTTAGCACAAGAGATTCCTTGGGGCTGGGGATGTAGCTCAGTGGGAGAGCGTGAGCTTAGACTGTGTGAGTCCCTGGATTCAAGCCCTGGCAACTCCGCGCCAATTAGATCTAAATTATTTTCTTGACACATCTTTATTCTCTCTTAAACCATGGAGCGGAATTTTACAACTATGAGGTATTTTGTTTTCTCTCATTTCAATTAACTACACTTTACATCTTTCCATTCTTCACAGCTTATCCCATCTGGTCCTATATATTATGGTAATATTAATTTAGACACTATTAAAATGGCAAACCCCTCCATATTTGTCTCTGTGGCAAACATAAATTACTAAGACTTTTTCTTTCCATTATATAATCCATTGCTTTAATCTAGCATCTGTTATGGGGTGAAACAACTGAAGTAATATGTAAATGCACGGGTAGAGAGGGAACCGCTGAGCCTTCCCTGAGGCGTGGGATAGAGAGGACACAGGGGACTCTGAACAGTCAGGGAGCCCTGGGGAAGATAGAGCATCAAGGTCAGACCTGAGGCAGTTCTGCCTTGATCCCAAGTTTTGGTCCCCTAGGATCGGAAAGCCCTTTCCCCTGAGCCTTCACTTTTCTCTTGGATGGATCTTTGACGGTCACATTTCAGGAGTGGTTTTATCTGCCCCACCAAGAACAAGGGGGCCTGRTGTTAGGGCAGCTAAGTTTAAAGAGCAGAAGGCAGAAGATCCGGAGTCACTGCAAGAACCAGGACAGAAGCTGCTGCTCAGTTCAGAATGAGTAAAGGTTTTAAATCATTTCAGGGGAGTAAAGTAAATCGCCTCCCTCAAAATTTTTTCTTTTCAGAACATAAACCAAATTGTTAGGTCTGCTGTCTGAAAGATAGTAGACCCCAAAGTGGGAGCCTGTCAAAGATTGTGTGTGTGTGTGTGTGTGTGTTGTCAAATGTCTTAGATTCCCCTAAGGATTTTGAACAAACATGAGTAATGATAATAGCAACTCAGATTTATTGAATACGCTTTGTTCCAGGCCCTTTGTAAAATGCTTTAACAGATTCTCCTGACTCTTTACAATAGACCCATGAGGGAGTGCTAYRTTTCCCTTGCTTTTATGCATAAGGAAGTGGGAGACCTTAGAGAAGCAGAGTGATTTGCACCGGGCCACCAGCTAGCAAGGGGAGGCACTGGGAATGAGTCTGGGATAGTAGATTCTAGTGCYCCCTTCTTGAAGGCGCCCAGCTGACCCTGATGTGCTGAAGGATTTCTGCAGACTTAGGGTGGAGCATTCACCTGTGGCCTTTGCTCCTCAGCATGACAGAGGTAAAGGACTGTCTTCAGAGCCTGGGTCTTTGCATCAGTAACTGCACTTGCCTTTGGGAAAGTGTGTGCACCACAGTGCTGGCGGCTCCCTTGTCTTCCAGAACTGCCTCCCACAGAGAAGTATTGACCACAGGTCACCATTTTATTTTCCCACCACAAAACCCTGTTAACTTCTAAAGGAGAGCTTTAGAGCTTGGAAAATTCTGTTCTAGACAAGATATTGATTGATTTGTTTACACTTCAACCCAAACGTGATGGTGTAAATCTTGAGATTTAAAGAACYTCAGCTGATCTCAGCTAAAATCCTGGTTTGGGCCAAGCTTTCCCACCCGTCCTCCCCCTGCCACTTTTTATTGAAATATGACATACTGAAAAAATCCACAGCATGCAACTCAGCACTACTATATCTACTCAGCACTCCAGAAAGCCCCCTGTATAGGTGGAGTGACCCTTTTCTAAAACACGAGACCAGAAGTGTTTGGGATTTTGGAATATCTGCCTAGACTTTACCTCCAGGTCATCCTTCTTCTGAAAATCCAAAATCTAAAATACTCCAAAGTCTTTCAGAGGGTCATGTCAGTGCTCAAAAGTTTTGGGTATTGGATTTTGATTTTGGGGTGCTTGACTGTTCCTTTAGGTTTTAAGGGCTTTAGTAACAAAGTACCCCAGACGGATGACTTAACAGAAATGTATTGTCTCACTGTCTTGGAGGCTGGAGGTCTGGAGTAATGGCGTTGGCAGGGCCATGCTCCCTCTGAAGTCATAGGCAAGTCCTTCCTTGCCTCTTCTTAGCCTCTGTGGTTTGATGGTGGTGTTTGACGTGGGCTGGATCACAGTGACATCGCTGCAGTCTCTGCCTTGGTCATCTCTGGGTCCTGTGTATTCTTGCCTTTGCAAGGCTATCTTCTAAAGAACCAGGCAGGTTGGATGTGGCCCATCCTGCCCCAATATGACTTTATCTCAACAAATTATATTCATAACAACCCTCTTTCCAAATAATTCACATCCTGAGGCACTGCAGGTGAAGACTTCACCTGATATTTTTGGAGGAAAACACTTCATCTCCTAATACCTGCAAGGTTCCACCCCAATYGATAAACCATCCTCTGCGACAGAAGTAACAAGGGCTTTTTGTTTGTTTGTTTAACATTCCCCCGTGACAGTGTTAGTGCGMAAGATTAAGATGTACTCAGTGGCAGCTCCTGTACCTTGCCTGGGCATGTACATTTGAAGTGCTGGCTTTTCAAGGTTTGGCTTCTGTGCACCAGAGCTGAGCCAGGGGACTCAAGGTCAATGTATAGATTCTCTCCACTGTTGCACCAGGAAGTCTGTGCTGCCAGCCTCTTTCAACCTGCTTGCTTTATAGGCCTGTTACTTCTTCTACATTACCTTATTTTAGTTCTTTTTTTTTAAAGTGGTTTTATAAGAAAGCCTCTTTTTAAAAAAATCAGTATTGCTGAAAGCAGTTGCATCTTTATATTATAGTCTAGCTTCATGGTATTAGAGGCCTCCTGGAGCCTTTTTTTTTTCTCTCCTTTTTTTGCACAATAGTTTTTAATCCGTTTTGTGCTGCTGTAACAGAATATCAAAGACTAAGTAATTTTATAATCAAGAGAAGGCTAACGGCTTGTTGTTCAGGAGACCGGGAAGTCCAAAATTGAGCAAAGGCTGGCATCTGGTGAGGGCTTGTTTATTGTCAGAAACCAAGAGAAAAAAAAGAGTGTGTGAGCACCCACCCAGCCCACCTCCTGTGTGGTGCACTGTCTCCTGTGATAACAGCCTCCATGCCCCCTGGAGGGCGGTCCCCTCATGGTCTAACCTCCTCTCATTAGGCCCCTCCTCCCAGTACTATTTCTGGGGATTAAGAGTCCAAAATATGCTTTTGGGGGGAGACGTTCAAATCATAGCTAGTACATTCTTCAAAGTGTTCCTCCTTTAAAATGAACCAATATGTTGTGTTGTTTTCCTAAAGTTTTATCTATGTAAGAAACAGATTACCACAAGCATAAATTTTAAAAGGGCATGAATTTTTAAATAAGTATTAGTTTTTAAAAAACATTCTGAAAAGAGTGAAGAATTTTATAAACAAGAAACCCCCAGCCCCTTACACCATGCACACCATTGAACTTTCAGAGTCRTATATTTTTTCCTAAATGGTTCTAAAAGCAGTTGGTCCATCTGGTTTGAATAAAGACAACAGTAACAAAAATAAAAAACAAAAACAAAAAAATCCAGTGTCTGACCCAGAAGAGCTGAGAGCAGGAAAGCTCTTTGTAGCACCATGCAATGTCCAAATTGTCACTGGCTGGTGCAGTAGTGCATAGGTGCTTATGAAAGCAATTTTAAAGCAAAATCTGTTTTCCCAGAAGATGTACTTCATGAGGCCCCTCACTTTCTACACAACAGYTTAAATATAAAAGGCAATTTAAAATTTATCTTTTGTTTCTGTTTTGAGAAGATGATAGGCCAGTGACTATTGTATCTAACTTGCTGCTTGGCACCATGTGAGTCCCAGAATGATTCAGCATTCTGAAAAACTCTTCAAAAGAATGGCAGCTGTGTAACACGTTTTCTTTCTTTCTTTTTCTAGCCAAGGACCCTTGTCATCCATTAGAGCCGTAATCAAGAGATGTAAGTTTGCTTTTTCCTACTCTATATTTCCCTCTGTTATAATTTTAAATGATGATTTAGATTTCCTGCAAGTGATTGTATTTGATGAWTCTACAAAGAACCCCAAAAGAGTAATTTCTCTTAAGAAATTAATTAAACAGGGGGCTGGGGCTCAGTGGTAGAGCACTTGCCTGGTACGCGTGAGGCACTGGGTTCAATCCTCAGYACCACATAAAAATAAAATAAAAGGTATTGTGTCCATCTACAACTAAAAATATATATATATATTAAAAAAGAAATTAATAAAACAGTTGAAACAGGTAGTTTTTCAGCTTTACTGATAAGCCAGTTCCCCAAAACAATACCTTTCTCTTATAGAATGAAGTTGTTTAAATATGGCTATGTAGTTGTCAATGTCTATGATCTGATATCATTTTATATAACCATTTCCTATAGTTAAGACATCTGATGGGCTGAAAAACATCCAGGCACGGTGGCACTTGCCTGTAAACCCAGCAGCTCAGAAGGCTGAGGCAGGAGGATCTCAAGTTCAAAGCCAGCCTCAGCAAAAGCGAGGCACTAAGCAACTCAATGAGACCCTGTCTCTAAATAAAATACAAAATAGAGCTGGGGATGTGGCTCAGTGGTCGAGGGCCCCTGAGTTCAATCCCTGGTACCCCCCAAACAACAAACAAACAACAAAAACTATTAAGCCCCGTCCTTTATGGTTCATTTGCTTTTACACTGTGTAAATGTGAAAGTGGGCACACACTTTTATGTATAAGAATTACTGTGAGTAGAATTCCCTCCAGAATGACACATTGATATGATTTTTACCTCTTGGTTAAAGCTTTAAAATCTGCCCTTGGTACAGGATTTTAAGACTTTTTTTTAAAATAAAGTGCTCTGGAAAACCCCTTTTTCAAATAGAACATGCATTACCTGTTTTTGAAAAGAATGAAGATGGGATTTTAGATGTGTTCATTATTCAAGCTAAAATTTCCATGCTGAGGAGAATAGAAACTGTCTTTGGAAATACAGTTTTTTTAATTTTTTGTAGTACTGGAGATTGAACCCAGGGATGTTCTATTCCCATTTCCCCCACCCTGTTTTTTTTGGTGCTAGAGACTGAACCCAGGAGTGCTCTACCATTGAAGTACATCCATACCCCTTTTACTTTTTGATTTTGAGACAGGGTCTTGCTAAGTTCCTGAGGCTGACCTGAAATTTGCAATCCTCCTGCCTCTGCCTCTTGAGTTGCTGGGATCACAAGCGTGCACTGCTGTGCCTGGAAACAGAATTTTTGATCTTCACTTTGATGTTAAGATATCCACAAGGTCATGAAGAACATGCATTTGAACCATTCCAGTGAAAATTTTGTAAGGTGGCAATACAGAAATGTATCCCATGTCCTTCACCCCATTCATTTCTTTGTTGGCTAATGATAAAGATGAGGGCATGCCACCATGTATGATGAAAGGGATTGGGACATTAAAATGACATATTCATGGTAGATTTAAATGTCTTGGCACTCTTAAGGTAGAATGGAGGGGGGCAGGAAGAGAATTTAAATAGGAAATTAAGGCCACGAATTTGGCAAGAGTTTCTTGGCTGGAGATACAATTTGGGGTAGTGAGGTGACAGGCAAATTCCTGGAGGTGGCAACGCATTAAAGGAAAAGTTCATAGGATAGAGATGACAAGGAGGGGAATCTTTGTGATTCTAGAATCTTGTGATTCTGAGGTCACACTGTGTCTTCCAGAGACCATGAGGCAAAAGACACAATGTAACCCAGTAAACCAAGGCCTTCTGTTGAAGAGGTCCTCAGTCCCCTCTGCGGCTCCTGATGTCCTTCCCGACTTCTTACCTAGCCTCTCCTTGCACTCCAGGACTTTGTCAGGGGTGGACATCTGTCCTTGACTTCCCATAGGTCCTCCAGAATGGATCTTGCTTACCTTGCAACAGCAGAGCTGTTGAGGGGGAGGAAACTTGCCCACATTCCAGGCAGCGGGGAGCAGGGAGCCAGGAGCAAGAGAGAAGAGGAAATTGGTAAAGCAGCAGGGGAGGAAGGAGGGGGGCCAAGGGAAGACTCTGGCTTTCCCTAGCTGGTGGGTTTTGTTTTCTAACTAACCCAGTTGCCTTTAAAAAAAAAAAATGTTCTTTTTTTTTTTTTAAATCTTTTTTTTAGTTGTTGATGGGCCTTTATTTTATTTATTTGTATGTGGTGCTAAGAATCGAACCCAGAGCCTCATGCATGCCAGGCCAGCGCTCTACCACTGAGCCACAACCCCAGCCTCTTAATTTGTTCTTTTTAGATATATATGACAGTAGCGTGTATTTTGACATATCCTACATACATGGAGTATAACTTCCATTCTTGTGGTTGTACATGAGGTGGAGTTCCACTGGTCGTGTATTCATATATGAACATAGGAAAGTGATGTCCAGTTCATTCTACTGTCTTAACTATTCCCATCTTCCCTCCCTTCCCTTCATTCTCCTTTGTCTAATCCAATGAACTTCTTTTCAACGTGCCCCTCCCCTCCACACACACACACACACACACACCTTATTGTGAGTCAGCATCCACATATTGGAGAGAACATTTGACCTTTGGGTTTTTTTGGGTTGGCCTATGTCACTTGATAGTCACCATTTTTATCCATTTACCAGCAAATGCCATAATTTCATTCTTCTTTTTGACTGAGTGATATTCCATTGTGTGTACGTACCACATGTTCTTTAACCATTCATCTGTTGAAGGGCACCTGGTGGGCCCGTAGATTAGCTGTTGTGAACTGAGATGTTATAATCGTTGATGTGGCCATGTCACTGTAGTATACTGATTTTAAATACTTTGGGTATACTCTGAGGAGTGGGATTTCCATAATCCCACTTTGATTTGTGCATCTCAGTCACTTTGTAAACACTGAAGAAATTCCTGTTTGTGTTTATTCCCGATGTTGGGCAGGAAGGCCAAACAGATCCTCTTACACAGAGAGCAAGGGATAATTGTGCTACCTCGTTTTTTCTTCCCTTTTTAACTATCATGTAAGAAAAAGTTGTAAGTAATTTTTATCTTAGTCAACCCATTTAAATGTGTCATCTAAGGAGACAGACTATTATGTTTTAAAATAAATATTCCTTACATTATTGTATTTCAAATTCTTCTATGATGATTCTGGTTACCATTAAGCCATGTGGTCCTTCTCTTTGTGTTCATTCTTGCGAGCCCTAAATATGTTTGCTAGCTTTTAGTTCTAATAGGAGATGTTGAGAATTTCATGTTCTGTCATTGGCTCTTTAAGAGGAAGGTTCAGGGTTAGTTCAGGATTATTCCTTGAAATTCAGATTGAACTAATATTGATTACATACCACAAGTGAAGAACTGTCTCACATGCATTGTAAGATAGTGGTGGCACGTGTGAGCCCCATTTTACAGATGGAGGAAACTGAGTCCTGAGAGGTAAACAAGCTTCATAAAGTGGAACTGGGATGTGACTGCAGACCTCTGGACTTCAGGGCCATCGAGCTTTCCCCTCCGTGGATATTCTCTGCCACCCAGCTCCCCACAAATGCAGCCAGTGAGCTCAGTGACTTTCATTGATAGTGCAGATTTTTTTTTCCCATTTAGTAAACATTTATTCATCACCTATTGTTCAGTAGATTCTGAATCAGGAGAAAATAAAAACACCTGCTATTGTAATGACTGTTTGATAAGGAGAGGATCACATCATTATCATCATTATTTACACCTTTAATGCTATTGTAATTAACTGTTTAATAAGAAAATCACTTCGTTATTATTTACACCTCTAGTGAGGACATTTATAATACAACAAACTTTCTGTGTATTTATTTCTTCTGATCACCTGATGTTGAATTTGGAAGAAGCCAGTTGGTCCTCGGCTTGTCCCTGAGGGGCGTTCACTCAGTCTCTACCTCTATGGTTTGAGGAGGATGATCCCTGAGGGTCTTCCAAGACTTAGGATCCCCCTAGAACTTGAGAAGATTCTTTATTGGTGCTAATATCAGAAATACCCATCTCAGCCCTTTCATAGATGGCCTAATGTGTTTTGCATGTAGAATTTTACCATTTGATCTAGGAAAGTTTCTGAGTCAGTCTGTAGAGCCATTGGATCACTTTAACTGAAAACACTGCCTTTATTCTGTGGCATTAGCCCCAAATGCAGGAGAGACCAGCAGCCTGTGGCAGAGAAGTTAAATGGGACATGTTGATCTGTGTAAGCGTTGATGGCAAATGCAATTCTCCTGGTGACAATTACATCAAATCTGTCTGATCTGGGGAAATGAGAATGACACATGTAAGTGGATAGTTGAGGAATTAGCAGGAAGAGCAGGAGACACTACATGAAAATCTTCCTGAAAACCTCAAGTGTTTCAAGCTATAAAACTTGTTCAACTCTGACAGTGACAGTTGTTTTACAGACATCAAGAGAGAAAAGAGAGATTTTGTTCATGATGAGTGGGGGGGGGGGGTATCAGAAAAGGGGAAGGGAAGCAGCAGTTGTCAAGGGCTGTGGAGAAGGATATCTTCAGGTGACTGTGAAGCCCCCCTCCTCCGTCTGGGCATATCTGGGCACGAGAGGAACAATGCCACTCTGCTGCCAGGGGCTGGGGGACCGTTACCAGCGACCTCTGATGTGAAGGGGCGGAATTCAACTAAAAGCCACTGATGTAAAAGAATGTAATTCAACTACTAAATTACCTTTTAAGTTTTATTCATACTTTAAAATCAATCTCTATTGAAGGAGCAAATTGATTTTGCAAAATGGTTTTTAGATGTGGGTTTTCTTTTTTTTTTTTTTTCTATCCATGTTGAAAACTACAGGCACATTTTTTTTACTGGCTCTGTGTGGGGTGGTCTGAACAGACACATCTTTGCAGGGCCATATTTCTTCACCCTCTGAAACTCTGGTTCTGAGCTTTTCTCTTCTCCTTGTGCAGAGCGGGGGAAGCCTTTGGGGAAGAAGCCCATAAGCGCATGGGCAGGGGCTTACTCTTTTTTCCTCCCTTTTCTCTCCTGTAACCCCTCTTTTTTTCCTCTTAGTACTCATGAATAGTACATGGCACAATGCCCCGTGGAAGAGGTACGTTTGTGACATGCAGTCTTACGTGCTATATCTGTTGATTGCGGCTTGAGTGGTGGTGGCAGCCATGTGACCGTGGCTCTCTCGGGTGGGCCTTGGCTTAATGAAAGCTTCTCCCCAATCAGATGCACTGTGCCGGCTCCTCCCTGTCTGTCCCCTTTTATTCCAGTACACACAGTGATCCTCTGCTTGGTTTAGCTCTTGATAGCAATGTCACAGTCAAGCCTCGTCATGACAAGAACTTCCAAGTGAAGATCCAAGGGCTTGGGTCTCCGGTGTTAGGGGTTGTTTTGACAACCCCAGCATCAGTTCACCTGTCCCGGCGCCAACCCCAGCCGAGATTTCCTTCTCTACCACCACAGTCTGCACAGCCTCCTCTTTCAGAGAGGAGTGAATTCATAGGAGAAAGGAAGGAAAGATCTGTGCTTTTAATCTTTTCAAATCAGAAGCATTGAGAAAGTAGTCGTGGAAAGAGACTGAAAGCAACCAGTCCAAATTGTTTATGTCTGACATAAATTCCCCTTGTGTACAAATCCTGACAGTATAGTACTTGATTTTATTCTATTTTATTTATTTGGKTTTTTTTGCCAAAAGGATCTCAGGAATGTGTTCCTTGAAAATAGAGATAAGAGCTGGGTGCAGTGGCACACACCTGTAATCCCAGCGGCTTGGAAGGCTGAGGCAGGAAGATCGCCAGTTCAAAGCCAGCCTCAGCAACTTAGTGAGGCCCTAAGCAACTTGGAAAAACTCTGTCTCTAAATGAAAAGTAAAAAGGGCTGGGGATGTGGGTCAGTGGTTGAGTGCCCCTGGGTTCAACCCCTGGTACACCCCGTCCCCCCCCCCAAAAAAAAGAAAATAGAGATAATAGTCTCCATTACATAAAAATCCACCCCACATGGGACCTTTTTTTAGGTTGTTTAATTAATACTCAATTTGCTTTTGTAAAATAAAATTTGGGGAAAAATTTAACCATTGAACCTTTTGAGTTTGAGACTTGAGGAAGAAGTCAATGCTTCATGTAAACAATATGTATCATAAACATGTTTATAATGATTTGAACACCTTTTCCACTTGTTATCTCTTAAATAATTAATAAAGAGTAATTACTTAGAGATTATAAAAATCTGGGTAGGAAAATAGATGAGAATCTGACCACTTCCACACTCTTCAAAATAGTTATAAACAATTATAATAAAATGATAGTCATATAAATTAGATATTTTTTAAGTTTTCTTCCATTGTTATTTCATACCATCATCTCAATTCTCTGACATGCAGTTTGTATTTAATAGCTATCTTCTTTTCTCTGTGCTTTCTTTAAATTATTTTCAGAACCACAAAATGTGCTTTGGAGAGTTTTTGAAATCTCTACTTTCTTATATAATTCAAATACATAATTTTAATCAATGTTTGGCTGTATAAAAAGATTTACTCCTGATTTACTCTTCTGCTTAGAGATATTAAAATTCTTACAGTCTATATGATGTCCAGGATAAGCTAATTTTTTCTAACTGTGCACTCTATAAAAATTGAATCTTTATTGAATATGCTGATTTTTTACTATACCAGTTTATTCTTTCTTCTATAGCTTCTCGGACTTCTATTCAGAGTGAACTTCATCGAGATAGGAGGTACGATTCTATTTATAATAGAGGGCATATATTCTGATAATAATGGAAATAAAAGTGGGTCATCAATTGGCAAATTAAATAATTTCTTTCATAAGTAAAGCAATACTATGCTCTGCCTCATCGGTACATTTCCTGAATTAATCTATAAGTTTGAGTGATGCTTTTACTTGAGAGAAGAAGTGATACAGTCTTGAAAATGTTCTTTTTGACAGTAGTTATTTGCTGAACTTGATTTTAAAGTGTTTATTAAACAACTTTAAACAAGTGCTTCAAAGAAATGCTTTGCATCTGATAGGTACTTACTTAATGTTGCCTAGATAAATGAATGGATGATAAGATAGAAAACTGATAGAAAGATAAAGAAAAGGAAAGAGGCCATGTGGGGTGGTTCATGCCTGTAATCCCAGCGACTAGGGAGGATGAGGTGGGGGGTCATAAGTTTGAGGCCAGCCTCAGGTACTTAGCAAGACCCTATCTCAAAGTTTAAAAAGTGCTGGGGTTGTGACTCAGCGGTAGAGCGCTCGCCTGGCACACGTGAGGCACTGGGTTCAATCCTCAGCATCACATAAAAATAATTAAATAAAATAAAGTCATTGTACACATCTACAACTAAAAAAAATATTAAAAAAAAAAAGGAAAGAGGCAGACAAGCTTAATAGACAACTGGATGGATAAACGGTGGGTGAGTGAGTGATTGGAAAAAGGAAAAGAAAATTGGCAGAGAGTAGTTAGATAAATGAAAAATAATGGATAGAAGGATAGAAGGGTAGACAGGAGAATAAATGGATAAAAAGGGTTTTGTAAGTCATGATTCCTGCTTTCAAAATTCTTACAGTACAGTGTAGAGTAATGAAAAACAAGGACTTTAGAACCAGGCAGAACCAAGTTCAGATCCCACCATTGACATCGACCAGCTGCTTCACCTCCTTAGCATCTCTATCCCCATCTTTAAAATGATGCTGATCACACCTACATCTCAGGTTGTTCTAAGGATTCATGTACACGTAGTGCTTAAGATGGATTACTAGTAACTCTTGCTATATAGTTAGATAAAAACTATAAGCAGATGTTCTCAGGGATGCAGTTGAAGTTTAATCAGTGATAAGGTTCTACTACTTCCCTGGCTAGCATGAGAATGTTCGTCTGGGCCCAGTTTTGATAACAACTGTGCTCTTTTATTTTTATTTTCCAAAGAGTGCCACAGAAAGGCAGAGCAGGTATTATCATCCCTGAGAAAACTCTGAGGCTCAGAAAGATGGATTGATTTTCCCAAGATCACACAATTAGTTTTGTTAGGAAGTCAGATTGAAGATAAAATTCCAACATTAAAAAAGTAGCATCAGATTAAGAAAAGGAGAAGCTAAGCTGGGTGCTGTGGTGCATGCCTGTAATTCCAGTGGTTTGGGAGGCTGAGGCAGGAGGATTGTGAGTTCAAAGCCAACCTCAGCAAAAAAAGCAAGGCACTAAAGCAACTCAGTGAGCCCCTGTCTCTAAATAAAATACAAAACAGAGCTGGGGATGTGGCTCAGTGGTCAAGTGCTCCTGAGTTTAATCCCCGGTACCAAAAAAAAAAAAAGGGAGGGAGAAGCTAGGCCTAAATCACTATGCCTCCCCAGTATTACAGATTAATCATCAAATCATAATAGAGTGCTGACACTTCTCAGGGTCCAGTGAACTGAAGCCACTTTCGGAGAGCTGTGAACTGGTATACAGATGGAGTGAGGAGGATGAGAGTGTTCTCTGTAGATGGTGATTTTCATTTCAGAGCACTCAGTTTAAATTGGCAGAAACCAAGCAATACCAGTGGCCAGGGTGTTTTCTTCCATGCTCCATATGCTTGTGCTGCAGTCTGCACAGCAGCAGAGCCTGGGAGGGAAGAGATGGAATGGGCCTTATGGTTGGTCCTGGTCCCTATCAGCCAAGGTAACGCTACAGGTTCATCTCTAACTTTTTGAGGCCAGAGTCAGAGGAGGACTACCATTTGCTCCCCTAAAGCCCGTCTGGGTGTGCTGTTAGAGACAGTCCAGGCCAGTTCTTAAACCGCTTTTGGGGGTCTTGGTTGTTTTTACTAACCTTTGAACATTTACAAATAAACAATAATAGCTTATTACCAGCCTGCAGAACCTCACTGAGACTTCTTTCCTCCAGGCGCCCAGAGATCACCATTGTGGCAGCTGAGCCTCTGAGGCCAGCCTCGTGGTTTCCAGGAGCCCCACCTCCAGGACTGGGATTTCCTCCAACTCCTGCCCCCGGCCCGTGGAGGCCGAATGAGCTGGTTTCTGCTGAGGTAAATAAACATCCCACTACCTCTTTACATTTTATTTTTAAAATGAAATTCAAAGATTAAAAAACGATGCCACTGTCACAACACCTTGGCTATCACCCAGAGATATCTAAAATTTTCCTTCTTTGTTTTGTAGCTCCCACCTTCTTATGAACAAGTCATAAAAGAAATCAACCAAGTTCAAGTTAACACTACAAATAATAATAATGCTGCTGCCACTCCAAGGCACACTATCACTTCTGCAACTCAGACTGACTTTTCAGAAGACATAGACAACAATCTGCCTCAAAGTAATGCAAGTAATTTGTCTTCTCTAATTCTGACCTAGTTCCAGGGGAGTAATCAGTAGGCTTCCAGCCTTTAAAATAATCTACAATTTGTGCATAATTCATTGAGCTCTGCTTCTCAGTGATTGTGATCACTGGGTGCTTTCTCTATTTGGGTATGCAGTGATTATTATAATAGATCATTCTTTTTTTTTTATTATTGGTCTTTCAAAATATTACATAGTTCTTAATACATCATATTACACGGTTTGGTTCAAGTGAGTTATGAACTCCCAATTTTACCCCGTATACAGATTGCTGAATCACATCAGTTACCCTTCCATTGATTGACATATTGCCTTTCTAGTGTCTGATGTATTCTGCTGTCTGTCCTATTTTCTATTATAATAGATCATTCTTAAGAGCTGTAGCCCTAATTTCTTGGGCTCACACAAGTTCATGTCACGAAAACATCATCTGGGTGACTCACGTGTACATGAGTACTGGGTGCACATTACCGTGGATGTCCTCTACTTATTCCTTTGAGAAGGATTTTATATTTAGCAACTTAAACTTGATAGGATGCTAAGGGTAATTTTTCTGTCAGGTTTTTACGAAGTATTTTATTAGGGTGACAGAGTAAGTTGCTTTGGAAAAGAAAAGCATTAAAGATGCTGGAATTTTGACAACCAGAGAGAAATGGTTCGTAGATATGTCTAAAAAGAATCAGGAATTTTCCAGGCAAAGTGGTGGGATCCCAGTGGATCCCAGGAGGATCTTAAGTTCAAAGCCAGCCTAGGCAACTTAGTGAGGCCCTGAGCAACTCAGCAAGACCCTGTCTCTGAATAAAATACCAAAAAAAAGGGCAAGGGATGTGACTCAGTGGTTAAGTGTCTCTGGGTTCAATCCCTGGCACCAAAAAAAAAAAAAGAATCAGGAATTTCATGGTGTTTTAAAATATGATATAATGAGCATTTTTATATGAACAAATATAAGTTGAAGAACCCTCCTGCAGGAAGCTAAATATAAACATCCATCTATCTCCCCATTGATTTTGCAGTCACTTTTGCTCATGAAGGAAACCAAACTCTCTTGATAGTTCATAAGTATATTTTCAAAATCTGTGTGTCCCCTGTCATTTTGTTCTTTTAAATTATAATACTTGCCACTTTGTTTTGGTCCTGTCAGCACTGCCGGAGCCTCTCAAGCCTCTTCAGCCTTCCCCAGCAGCCTCACCCGGCGGTGTCCCCACCAATGTGGCTCCTTTAATAGTCTTTGATGTTTCTGAAGAAGCAAGTTGTCCAGAAAACCCCAGTGCTCCAAGATGTCCAGTGCCAAAACCAAGATCGAAAAGCAACCTCAGACCAGTAGCTAAAACTGCCCAGAAAATCAGCCCAGTGGTCCCAGAAGAGGAGCCATCCCCAGGCTGGCCCCAGTGTCTGTTGGACAACACCAGCGACTTAGAGAGTCTGCCAAGGATGGACACGATGAACGCAGAGCAAAGCCAAAATAGCATTGTTTCAAGGATCAAAGCATTTGAGGGTCAGACAAACGCAGAAACCCCGGGACTGCCCAAGAAACCAGAGATCATCCCCCGCACACTGCCCCCAAAGCCTGCCATTTCCTCAGGGAAACCTTCTGTGGCTCCCAAACCAGCGGCTAACAGAGCTTCTGGAGAATGGGATGCTTGGGCTGAAAACAGGCTCAAGGTGACCTCCAGGGAAGGGCTCGCCCCATTCTCTTCACCACCAGAACCAGGCAGTGTGCCAGTAACCAAACCCGAATTGCCAAAGAAACCAACTCCTGGCCTTACCCGAAGTGCTAACCACGAGATTCCGGGAGGAGGGCCCGTGGCCGACAGCCCTGATGCTGGGAAGAAAGTCCCCACTCCTGCCCCTCGGCCCTTGCCCCCGAAGAAATCGGTTTCCTCAGAAAACCCCAGCTGCCCTCCGGCTCCCCCGAAACCAGCCCCTGTTCCTCCCCGGCTCTCAGTGGCATCACAAGCCAAAGCATTCAGGTCACTGGGAGAAGGGCCCGCGGCCAACCCCCCTGTTCCAGCTCTGCAAAGCAAGTCCCTGGGGGACATTGATCTCATCAGCTTTGATGATGATGTTTTGCCCACCTCCCCTGGGAGCCCAGCTGAAGAATCCCTCAGTTCAGAGCTGCTTCTAGGTGAGTAAAACTCAAAAGTCTGGGGGAACCTAGATTCATGGTGGGGGGCATCTTCAGTATCACTTGCTTCAATATCACATTGTTTTGTAGCAATATGGAAGTTAGTGCTTGAGGTGTGCAAATGATTGTGTAGAGATGGGAATGAACAGAGAAATTAAGAAACCTGGGGCTAGGGCCGTAGCTTGGTGGCAGAGCGCTAGCATGTGTGAGACACTGGGTTCCATCCTTAGCACATCATAAAAATAAATATCATAAAAGCAACTCTGTTCATCTACAACTACAAAAAATAAAAAATTAAAAGAAACTTGGAGTGGGGTGGGGGTTGGAGACAGAGAAGGAAGGGAAGAGGGAGACTCGGCATCAATTATCACTCTGGACCAGAAGGAAGCACCCAGGGGCTAAGCATCAACCAGGCTGTGGGGCTGTCTTCCCTTGCTCTGGCAGGTGGAGAATTCAGGCTTCACATTAAAAGGGTCCAGGATGTTGGAAAGTTGGAGGACATTGCACTAGGTGGGTGCAGTGGGAGCTTCTTATAGACAGGAGATCATGCAGTGCCCCAGAGGGCCCAGCKGGGAGAGCCAAGAGAGGAGCCAACCAGGTGGGGATGGCAGGAGCAAGGAGGACCCGGCACACGTTGCAAAGATCTTTTTTTTTCTTCAGTCTGCTCAGAACATCCTCCTTTGGGAATGCAAATTTGTGTAAATAAAATACAACAGTTCCAAGTTTGCTGCCAAGATCAGGACAATTAGATTTCCCACGAGGCAGAGAGTGTTTTCTTCGTGCACACTGTTCAGGGGGTGGGTGCAATGGTAAAGCTTATTTGTCAAACTAAGCTGATCCTACTTGTCATTGATAAGACAAGTTTTTTTTTTTTTACAACTTTTACTACTGTTTACTTTTCTGGGTAGAATTGGTGGACATAAATGTAATAGTATTTTCAAAAATTAAGCTGTCATTTTATAAATGTTTAACCAGCTTTGGGCTGGAGTTGTGGCTCAGTGGCAGAGCACTCACCTAGCATGAGCAAGGCACTGGGTTTGATCCTCAGCACCACATAAAAATAAGTGAATAAAATAAAGGTATTGTCCTAACTACAACTAAAAAAAATATATATTATATATATACACACACACACACACACGTATATTATATAAATATTTAACCAACTTTAAAATTGTACAAACTCCATCATTTCAAAACTAAACTCTATAGAGCACAGAGTATTTTAATGATAGTAAGCACATATTTATTAAATATTTATCATGCACAGAACATTGTAACTGGCTATGACATATAAACTGAAAAGACATACCTTTTGTCCATAAAGGGTAGAAAGAAAAACATTAGAATATATTGAGCTTCTGCAATGTTCTTAACACTCTGCCGCATACTCAGACATATTTTATTTAATACCTACAACTCAGAAACTATTTGATTTCATACAATAGCCCTGTGTGAGAAATCATTTCCTTTGTCAGTTTGCAGACAAAGGAAACAAGGCTGAGAGAGATCAATGGATACTTGCTTAATGCCATAAAGCTAACAATTTTCCAAGCCAAGATTCAAACTTGGTCTTTTTATACTAAGTCTTGTTTATTTTTTAGGATATTGTGTTTATTGTCCAACATCTTCATGATTCCTTAAGCCAGGCCACATTTTTAAAACTTTTTGCCAGGCACAGTGGTGCACACCTGTAATTCCAGCGGCTCAGGAGGCTGAGGCAGGAGGATTTCGAGTTCAAAGCCAGCCTCAGCGACTTAGCAAGGCCCTAAGCAACCCAGTGAGAACCTCTCTGTAAATAAAAATGTTAAAAAGAGCTGGGGATGTGGCTAGGTGGTTAAGTGTCCCTGGGTTCAATCCCTGTTACAAAAAAAAAAAAAAAAAAATCTCTTGAAGTCTTTGTTAATATCATTTTCTTCCTTAAATCTTTCTGGTGTTCACAAGCCTCAGAGACAGGTGGCAATGGATAAAACCCAACAGCAGGAAGTTACTAAGGCAAGGAAACAGTACAAAAGAAAGAACACACTTTTTAGAGTCTATTAGATGCTATGGAACGGCAGCTTAGTTACTAACTGCTGAGAATTTATCCTATATCATCAAGCAAATAATTATAGTCATATTTGAAAAGGAAGATCAACGGTATATTCAACATGAATACAGCCTCATACCCAGCCTTTTGTTTCTTGATTTCTGCTGCTTCGTTACACAGCATTTAATTATTAGGGCAGTCTTTTAGCAAAATGTGTAATTTACTTGTCCCACCTTTAACCACGGCTGTYGACTCTGAAGTTAGACTAAACTGGACACTCATCTTCTATCTGACCTTTTCCTCCTGTGTTGGGCACCTCACTTTGGGACCAACACRCATCCAGCCTTCCCCTGAGAAACCTTCAGATGCTCTTGGAGGCTTTTCACTGTGTCACACACTGGCTCGGTTTGGATTTGGCGGCTACCAGGCTCGGCCATGATTGCCACGTGACCTTTGGCAGTTGCTTAACCCCGAGCAGTACCTCAGTTTCCTCATTTAGAAGACTGGATACTGATGCTCCTCGTGGAGTGTCTTGCAAGAATTAAGTGTGGTTTTGCAGGAGAGCCCCATCACAGGGTCTGAAACATGGCAAGTGGGCATCGGGTGGTGTTTATTGCTGTTACTTCTCTGCCTTCCTGTCTGTCCAATCTGTTACCTTCACCTGCTGGTTTTGCCTTCTGAATGGCTCCCGAGTCTGCCTCTCAGTTTCTCTCTCTCCTCATTCTGCCTGCGTGCACAGGGCCGGCAAGTGCTCTGAGCATGAGCTACATCCCAGGCCTTTCTCTTTTTAATTTTTTTAAAATTTTGAGGTAGGGTTTCTCCAAGTTGCCCAGGCTGCAGCGGCCTCCTGAATGGAGTTAACTCAACCTGTTACCCTCTGTACTCTGGCCACTGAGGGATTTTTCGAGAGAGCTCACTGGCTCTTGTGCTTTCCTGCCTGCTGTCCTCCAAGGGCTTTTCCAATCACCAGGCTGGGATTGATAGGGGACTTTGTGGCTTGTTGATGGTATTTCAGAAGCATCCTCATTTCAAAAAAAGGTTGATGATCTCTTTGTGAAACCTGGCCTGATCATCCAGGCATCTGCCAGGCCCAGGAGAGGAACACAGGTGCAAGGAGACTCACAAATACATCTTTCTTTCTCTTTGTCTTCCCTCAAAAATAAAGAAAATCTAATAAAATAGTGTTCCTAAAAATGAAGCTGCCATATTAATCTCAGGAAATAGAGATCAGAAAATACTGAAGCTATGAAAACGTTGTAAAGATTAGAAAAATTATTAAAGGAAAACTCGTAAAACAGGCAATTTAATATTGGATTCATTTCTTGGATAGAATGCCTTCCAGGTTAATGTCATGGAGCTCAGAAGCATTAGCAATTCCACTTCACACCTTTACAAATCACACCCAGTTGCTTTAAAAAAAAAAAAATGCTTCTGCTGTCAGCCCCATTGAGTAGACCAGAATAATAGTTTAGCAGCCAATTTCTGCTATTAACAGAACTCAAGGGAAAGAAATGACAGAAAATCCAGCCACGGTGAAACTAATTACGACGTCGGCAAGCACATTATTAGAGACAGGTAATGGGTGGAAAACTACTTTATCATCAGTGTTTTTCTCAACCTGGTAATGAAGAACATGCAGAGAGAGATAGGTGTAAAGGGGCCTGCTTGTTTGGTAGCAGATGCAGAATAATTGATGTTGGTGTGAGGGACTGAAAGGAGGACAGAAAACATGGCAAATAAAGGTAGAGAAACTGCCACTGGCCTCCTTAGATTTGGTAGGAGAGTCTTCTTTTAATGCTCTGTGTCATTTCTGTAGAAGCAAGGGTGTTCTAATGTAAAATTTTGGCAGCAAGCGTCTTTACCCCTATTGAGGTCACAGATCTTTAAGAATCTGATGTAGCCTATAAATCTTTTAATTTTCCATTATTTCACATGTGGACAATTTGAGGTACAACTTCCAGTGTTTCGAGGGCCATCTTGGGCTCCAGATTAAGTGTTTCAACCACACAATATTGGAAATAAGCTTTAGTGGACTGCTTTAATAAATTATGGTATATATCCATATAATATTGTGTGATAATTAAAAAGCAGGCAGACCTACTATCTCCTAATGTGGGCCAAACTCCAAGTTGTCATTAGGTGAAAAATACAAGGAACAAAATAGTGTCCTGGTATTTTAGCTACAGTTTACATGATTCCATGTAAATTGCAGTCCATGGGCACATGTTAATCTTTAAAAAATAGCTTATCATCTTTTTAAAGGTCATGTGGAAGCATGGCACTGTGGTGCATACCTATAATCTCAGCAGGTTGGAAGGCTGAGGCAGGAGGGTTAGAAGGGTTATTATCTCAAAATTTAAAAAAAAAAAAAAACATTTAAAAAGAAAGGCTGGGGATTTGACTCAGTGGTAGAGCACTTGCCTGGCATGTGTAAGGCCCTGGGTTCAATCCCCAGTATTGAGAAGAAAAAGCAAAGTCATATACAGTGTGTTTGGAAGGGTATATTAGAAGCTGATATGACAGAGGTCTTTTAGGGGGAATTAGGTAAGCAGGAGAGGATAGGGGCCTGGTTTTCCCTGAAAACCTTTGATTCCATGTAAATTGCAGCCCATGCACACATGTTAATCTTTAAAAAATAGTTTATCATCTTATTTTAAACGGCTGAACATAAATATAATTAGGCAGAGAGAAACTACGAAAGTTACTTCTTCTTTGCTACAGAAAAAGAACTGCCTCCCCGACTGATCTTTAGTATGATTAGAAATTACAAAAATAATAAAATTGTGGAGTTGTGGGTAGCTCGGTGGTAGACAGGCTTGCCTAGCATGGGTGAGGTCCTGGGTTCCATCCCCAGCTCTGTACCCTTCCCCCCAAAAAAGTGAATTTTCTGAAGAATCTATTTGTAAGAATCAAGACTCTTGATTCTTACAAATAGAAACTAGTTGTTATGAACTAAATATGTCTAAATTAG